GGGAAAGAGGCTAAGGTGCCTCCCAGCTCCTAAAGGCACTCAGAAAATGCCAATTCCATTTGCCATGTGCTATGCCCACTTCTCACCCTGTGTCTCCTCAGTTGACAGGAGAGAGGTGTGGTCCCCCCCGCTCCGAGAGTGTCCCTCAGAGAGAGAGGGAGGGTGCCTGTGTTTCATTCTTGAGAATGAGCCCGGGGACGCCAGAGCCCGGCTTGTGAATTCAAGTTCTTTCTTGTCTGTAATTACCTGCTTCTCTTTTCCGCAGGGGCTGAACTGCACAGTCAAGAACAGTAAGTCACCGGGTTTTGTTTTTCTCCTGTTGCCGCAATGAAGCGCTGACCCCGTGCTGAGCTGACGAGGGCCCCAGCCCCCAGCAGGAGGACCCCTGAGATTTGGGGCCGCACCTGCACCTCCGTCAAGGACGTTCATCGTGCAGCAGTCAGGGTGGGAGGCGCAGGCCTGTCATTAGGATTTTCTCTGGGGTGCTACCCTGGTGAATCTGTAATATGACTCTTTCGCCAGAGCTGTCACCCTGAAGTGGGAGACATCTGGGGTGGGACCTTGTTTTGTGTTTTAATTCAAGGAGGAGGGGCACAGTTCAAGTGTCTGTGCTCATTAGGGACCCCGCACATAACAATAGAGCAGCTCTTATGGTTGCCTCACTCTCCTGACCCACTTCCAGCCACTGCCTCCTCTCAAAGCCAAGGGCATGCTTTGTCGTCTCTCCTGAGGTGCCCTTTAGACATCAGAGCTTTGCCGTGACCCCAGACAGGCGTCAGGAGAGCGAGCAGGGCTGGGCAGCTGAGAGCACAGCCGCGGTCTCAGGGTCACGGCCTGACCATGAAGGCCTGGCTCCCTGGACCCCCATGAGGTGTCTTCTTTGGTCTGCATCTTTGGTTTCTTGCAGAGCCTGCAAGCCTCTGATTTCTGCCTTTCCTGGCCCCCAGGTACCTGCCTGGACGACACCTGGATCCACCCTCGAAGCCTGACCCCCTCGCCCCCCAAAGACATGCAGACCCAGCTGCGCTTTGTCCACACGCAGCAAGGACACCTGCTCCCCGTGGCTCACGTCGAGTGGACGCTTCAGACAGACGGTGAGTGGGCGTCTGGACCTGCTTCCCACCTCCGGGTGAGCCCACAGATTGGACCGCCCGGCCCTCCCCCCAGACTCAGAACTGGGCTCCCAGCCCTGTGCTCAGACACGAGGGGCCAGTTTAGTGAGAGGACCCATCGTTTCAGGCAGTGAGTCCTTTTTCAGTGTTTGGATGTTAACCCATGATCCTTCAAGGAAGGCCTTTCTTCAGCCTGAAATCTGCATCACCCCGGAAAAGGCGTCAGGTCGTGAATTGTCTGACTGCGGGGCTGGCCTTCCTGACAGCAGTGCCCCAACCTCTCAGGGCTGGGTGACCAGGGCGCCCAGACCCGTGGACGGCCTGGGGGAGACCTCTTCCTGAGGCTCCAGCCCCGCTGGCTGCTGCGTCCTCTTCAAGCTCGGGGACGCCCCTTTGACACCCACAGCGTGTCGCCAGTGCCCTAGCCACGAATTTGCAAAGCGTTCGCTTCGAGCGCTGGGTAGTGTCGCTGTCCGTGTCCAGCAGGGGTAGCTGTCCACGAGGCAGTGGCTAATCCAGCCCAAAGGGAGCTTGGAAGGAGCAGGAAGCGGAGGGTGGGTAAGACGGGCAAGCGTCCCAGACGGGACGTGCGCCCCCCGCACCCCTTGATCTGCAGCTGCAGCGCCTCCCCTCCCTCTGCCCCCCAGCCAGCATCCTCTACCTGGAGGGAGCGGAACTGTCCGTCTTGCAGCTGAACACCAACGAACGTCTGTGTGTCAAGTTTGAGTTTCTGTCCACACTGAAGCATCATCACAAGCGGGTAAGACTCCAGCCGGGGCGGGGGGTGTGGGCGGGGATGGTGGTGACCATTGGGGAACAGCACACGCACGCGCGCACACGCACGCACGCACACGCACATGCACACACGCCGCTCTTCCTTCC